TCCCAGAGGCACCGCTCCACACGGGGCACCATCTGGGGGCCATAATCTGGGCTGTCCGGGGGGCGGGGCTGTGGAGGGGGTTTGGGTGGGGATAGAGGAGCGTGATGACAGCTTCCGTCAGGGACTTTGTGAACTGAGGTCCCTGTAAGGTAGACGGCCAGGTAGAGGGAAAGCCCTGGACAGTCAGCCACATCGTCTGCCCACCACCGTGCAGTGAGTGCACACTCTTAAGGGTCGGTCTGCTCAAGTTCAAATCCTGGCCACTGTGTGACCCTCAGGCAAGTCACTTGACCTCTCTGTGCCACCATTTTCTCATCTGAAAAATGGGGTGGTCCTAGGAACCCAACCGGGACCCGATGTCAGAGGGCAGGCGCGGGAGCCACCTACGTGCAGCGGCCGGTAGTACTGGGCCACCGCGGCGTACGTCCTGTTCCCGGAGACATCCGTCAGCACCAGGAAGTGGACACGGTCCTCCTGAGGTTCCCAGGCCACACACAGGCCCCCTGCAGGAGGGAAGGAGAAAGAATCTGTGAAGCCAGAGTGGCCCCTGCTTTCCGAGCACGGGGACCCCTGGGGTACCGTCCCCGAAACGAGGCAGCAGCAGCAGTTTCCCATGGAAACGGCCGACAGGCACTGACGTCCAGTCCTCAGTCTGCGTGCTCCACACCCACCCGTGCGCCGTTTCTCCACGACCCGCCAGGAAGTGCAGCCCCGCACGCACCCTGCTGTCTGCAGGCCTGGCCAGTTTGGGGGGAAAGCACAACCTGTGCATCTGGCCCCGGAGACGCAGGAAACGGGCGGGAGGGGCCGGAACTGGCTCACCGGACATCACAAGCCCCTGCCAGGCCCCTGAGGATGAAATGCTTTCAAAGCATCATGAACACGCCATGCGGCCCCGCCAGGTCTCAGCTGTCTAACGCCCCAGGGGCTGTGCTGGACGCCCAGCTGCCTTTTAGTGTTGAAACCCCAAGATCAAGACAGTCCTGCCCGGCCATGTGGCTCAGGGGCTGAGTGTCGTCGACCTATGAACCAGGAGGTCACGGTCCGATTCCCGGTCAGGGCACAGGCCTGGGTTGTGGGCTTGATCCCCAGTGTGGGGCGAGCAGGGGGCAGCCCATCAATGATTTCTCTCCTCATGGACGTTTCTCTCTCTCTCTCCCTCTCCCTGCCTCTCTGACATCAATAAAAATATATTTAAAAAAGCGAAAAAAAGACAGCGCCGTCCTGGGACAGGACGCAGGCCCGAGGGGGGCCAGCTCCCCTCCAGCTGCACGCTCCCTCCCCGAACGCAGTGACTTCCAGACGCAGGTCACGGTGTGGCCTCAGGCACATGCATCGGGGCAGGTACCTGGGAAGCACAGCTGAGGCAGGGCCAGCAGGTCCACGCCGTCGGGGACGCTGATGTCCTCAGTGTCTGTCTCTCGGGGACCCGCGGGGCCCAGGCCGGGGTCCGCTCTGGGCTTCTCTCTCTTCTTCCTGAAGGAGCGCCTCTTGGTTCTGCCGAGGGTCCCGCAGCTGGTGCCGGCCGCCTGTCCGTCCTCCTTGCTGACGAAGGGCGGCACGAAGACGGACAGCACCTCGGGCTCGAGGGCAGGACTTGGGTGCCCCCTTCTCTGGGCCACCTGGAGCAGGCAGAAGGAAGAGGTACGCGATGGCGTCTGCCCTCGTCCCGGTCGCCCTTTGGGCCCACGCGTGCACCGCGGGCAGCGGCACTGCCGTGGGGACAGCATCTCCCGCCAGCGGCTGACAGTGAGGACCCTCGGAAGTTGCCCGGTGTCCAGGCAAGTGGACGCCGCCCGGAGCCTGGTCCTGCAGCTGGTGAACAAAGCCCGTCCTGCAGTGGACAGACCTGAGGTCAGAGCGGCTCCGTCTCCGAGGGCGGCCAGTTAGCTCCTCAGCCTGGAGCTTCCCTGCCTGGAGGTGGGGGGG